TTTTCCCTTGGTCCCCAGGGTGATCTGCCAGCTCGCTGCAGTTCACATTCCATCTCCCTGTGATTCCACATGGCCTCAGGTGGCTGGCTTTGTATTGTTACTGGAAGCTCCTGGGCCTCTCTTGATTATTTCTACAGTCAGCAAGGGGTATTCTGACACATGGGCGCGGTGCCTTGATGGATGCTAGTCTGATGAATGACATCACTGTAGACTCCTCTCAAGACCAGGGAACGGGACACTCATCTACTTGGGTCAACTTGAAACTCACAAGACTAGTAGAGTCTCCCTCCTCACTTTTTAGAGAAATCCTTTATGCTGCAACTGGTTTGCTTTTTGTCAAAAGAGAGCATGAGTCTCTCACCTTTGCTATACCAGGCCCTGGAAGGCACTCACGAAAGCCCCATCCGTTTCTCTCCATAGAGCTCTGTACCTGTCAGTCTGGCTTTCAGACACTTAGGTGGGCTGGGCATGAGCCAGGTGGGACTCTGCCACACACTAGCCCTGGTGGCTCCCATCTAAGAAACAAGGCCATCAGTGTGCCGGGTGACCTGCACCTGACTCAAAGTCCAGCTGCCCTCAGTGCTACCTAAGCCTCCATCCGCACCCTATGGTGTCTGGGGAGGCACGGGGCAACCAGACTAGGTAGGCATGGCGGCATCAAGGGGGTGATCAGAAAATGCAGGTGGCTTGGCTCTTAATAAACCACAATTATTAAAACATTAGAAATCCAGGTATGTGTTACAACAAATACAATTCCAATTTTAAAATGATACCGTGTCAAATGCTTAAGTATATACCAGCTACTGGGGTAGGGCTTCCATGGGCACAGTTCATTTCCCCATTAGGAATTCCACATGCTTGAATATGCTTTAAATAAGGGTTGTACCCTCTGAGGCCACAGTGCCAAGGAGATGTCAGTACTATGTTCCTTGATGCCTGCAACTATGAGCTGAAATAAACCTCCTTCCATTATTAATGTCCAGGCTTTGGTATTCTGCCGCAGCAACAGGAACCAGACTAAGGAACCATGGGGTCCTTGAGATGTCAGGTAGTCTGTCCCTGTTTCCTGACAGCTTGTTCCTATTCCATGGAAGCCAGGCCACCTGAGTTGTGCTGGAAGTGACTGGGAAGTTTCTAAATGTCCTCAAATGAGATTATTTCATAAGCAGACGCTGCAATGCTTCAGCCCAATGCCCCTCTTTGAGGCTTTGGTGTTGAGTAAGCTTCCTGGTACTGTAACAAATGCCTGAGGTAATCAACTTATAAAGAAAAAAGGTTGATTTTGGCTCACATTTTGGAGGTTTCTGTCCACCGGCTGTGGACCCCACTGCTTTCAGTCAGTGATAACACATCACAGGCAGAAGGCAAAATGGACCAAAGGCATCTATTTAACCTCATGGCATGGAACGACAGAGGAAAAGGAAGAGCTGGAGTCCCACTATCACCCTTCAAGGGCATGCTCTCAGCCCAGAAGACCTCTCACCACCATCCCCAGCAGTTCCCACAGCAGGGGGCTGAGAGAGGCGGAGGAAGCCTTCCCTTCTCTGGGGGGACATTGATTCAAACCATAGCAGGTGCCTTTGGATTTCCAGTGAGCTCTCACCTTTTGCTCACTCTTTGAGATCAAGGCTTTAGAACGGGAGGAGGCAACAGCAAAGGCTGCTGTCCAAGTCTCTCAGCCCCAGACAAACCAGCCTGTGGAACAGCCCTTAACAGCTATTTCAAATCTAAGTCAGGAGGAGTAATTAATAACTCCTGTGAATTTATGAAGTAAAAAAAAGCATGCCACCAAATCCCCAAATATGTAATATTTTTTTTAAATGCACACACCCACTCACACTTAATTTATGTATGCTTGAAAAAGGAATGTGGGTCACTGCAGAAAAATAGAGACAAACAAAGAAAAGAAAATCTACCCACTGTGAGCATCAAGATCTATTTCCTTCCAGTTTTGTCCTTGCTATATATATATTTAAATTTGTTTATAATATTTTATGATTCAATTACATAGTCATAAGTAGAAATCATCATGTAATTAATTGTAATTATGTTGTGTGTTTCATTTTTGGCTCCTGCTTTCAATTCCTTCACATCATTCCATGAACATTTTCCTGTGGAAACAGCATCATTACTTATTTCCACAGTTGCTGCCTCTGGGGACAAAGGAGAGAACATTGGAGAAAGCCCCCCCTAGCACGGCATTAAGGAGCCTGGTGGGGGGGGCTAGAAAATAGTTAGATTACTGAGACGTGACACCTGAGTCACCAGAGCGGCCACCACTCACCACAGCCTCTTGAACTCAGAACAGACATCACTAATCTCTCAGAGCAGACCTCACTAATCACTCACAGCCTCTTAAGCTCAGAGCAGACATCAATAATCACTCACAGTCTCTTAAACTCAGAGCAGACCTCACTAATCACTCACAGCCTCTTAAACTCAGAGTAAATATCTCTAGGCAACCACAGCTCCCTTTCCTATCCACCTCCTATCAGACAGCCTAGGAACCTTTTTCAGCCCTGTGCTCCAGGCAGCCACGCGTTGCATTCCTGCGCTGGGCCCACCTTTGAAAAGGCCCCTTTGAAGCAGCTCCACGTTACAATCTCCCCTTAGGACTAAGTGACGACCATTGCTCAGAACATCCACCTCTAGCACACAATGAATCCACAGTTCAGGCCTTTTGTATTTTGCTTGGCCCTTCACTAAAAAGCTGCATGGAACAGTGGGTTAGGGCCGTGGAAGTCAGGGTCTTGTGGTATCCAGTGGACAAGACTCGTTTCCCCCCCCTCCCCCCCGCCCTGCATGACTGGCAGCAGGGCCCTGTTTCATTTGGACCCAGTCCCTCCCAATTCCTAGGCCTTCGGGACATAAGAACGCCATCATATTACATTCAAACCAACCGCGGGCTGCAGGTAATGGGCCCTGTGGTGACCGCGGCGGTGCCTGGCATTGTCCATTCCTCTGAGCATGGACTTTAGTAGAGCTTCCAGCATACGGGTAATTACATTCCAAAGTAGGCCCACCCTGAAGCCGTTCAGCTAGAAAATTACAAGCCACTGCAAGGACGTGCTTCCATTTGAACGAGCAAAGGCAAATTCAGCATCCAGCAGCCTGAGGTGCCCAGCAGCTCCATGCATTTTACCACATGACCTAGCACGCTGCCAGCATCTCTCAATGAACATTTAACTCACTCCCCACCATGGTCTGCCTGCCTAATCTAGCCTGCCGAGCCTGAAGGTTCTGCAAAGCTGATGGCCCTCCCCAAACCCCACTCTCAGCTCTCCAGAACTAGCCCCAGGAGGCCTGCCGTCAATTGGTATGCCTGCAAGCAGGGTAGCAAAGACCACACCAGACCCACAGTCCCCAGGCATGGGAGGCATACTGGGTCACACTCATTCCTGCCACCATTGCCTATGTGGTACCTATCAACACCATCTCCCTACCCACTTCAGTCTGGTCCCTGCTTCCTTGTGGGACACCACTTTCAGGGTGGCTTACCCACTAGGATCTTGGGACAGTCATTCTGATCTCTGATGAGCCCTCCTCATTGGTTGCTCCACTACTCGTGGCTGTCCTGGGGAAGAACCAGGTACAGCCCCCAGTCTGGCTTTCTGCAAGCAAAGGAAATCCCCAAGATGCCCAAGAGCACTGTGTCTCCCAAGAAGTATTTTATCCTGACTGTCCCATGCTCAATCCAGGATTACTCTGCACACAGTGTGCTTCCTGAGCTGAAAAGTTGACAGTAGGTCATGGACCAGCCTGCCTCCATCTTAGGCTTGAAAGCCATCTTACAGTGAAGACAAACTAGGTTTGTTCCTACTTAAGATTAAGTCTGTTTCTCAAGGATTGGGCTATGCCGCTCCCGTAACCTTAACTACAAATGGTTCTGTACTGCCTAATCCAGATAACGGCAACCATGTCTTTGTTTCTAAAAGTTGTTATAACCATCTTGCAACCCTACCTTTGTTTCAAATGTCATTATGTTGTTATGACCAACTTGTTATGTTGTGCTCCTGTAACCCCACTTATTTGCCTGACAGCCCCCCACATTTGGAACCCCCAACCATCCCTGAGCTATAAAAACCTTGTCTTCCTCACATCCAGTGATGGCCTCTTGAACCCTGCCTTAGAAGGAGGCAGCCCATGTACACGAACAAAAAAAAAAGCTTGCTTTAATTAATTTGGCCATGATGATTTGAGTCAATCATTGAATCTTTGGGATTAACACAGGGGCAAAGACCTAGGGCAAGAAGATGGAGTTTTAGGAGCCGCAGAGACAGCTCGGTGGTTAAGAGCACTTGCTGCTGCTCTTGCAGAGGACTGGTTCCCAGCACCCACAAGGCAGCTAACAATCATTGTAACTCCAGCTCTAGAGGATCTGATACCCTCCTCCAGCCTCTGGTACACACATACATGCAGGCAAACACTCATGCACATTAAATAAAAACATTTTTTTAAAAGGTAGAGATTTAGCACAATGCTTTTGTTAAAGCTGTAATTCCTTATCTACACGCCTAAAACTTTACAAATACCCTAAAGCATTTCAGATTAGGAAAAACAACATTAGGGTATCAAAATTCAGCAAAGAAGATGAATCCAGGGTCTTATATATGCCGGGCATGTGCTCTACCACTGAGCTACATCTCCAGCTCTCTGTTTACTTTTTGAGACTAAGTTGGCCAGGGTGGCCTTGCCCACCCACAGCCCAACCAGATCTTGACTTCATGATCCTTCTGCCTCAGCCTCCCGGGTAACTAGGCTTACAGGTTTGTACCACCAGCTCAAAATTCCTTATGTAGCCTAGGAGAGTCAATGTGTCCCCAACCCTTATCTCCAACTACACACAGGTCATTGTCCCATAGACTGGCAGGCCTGTGTGATTTCTCAATGTGAAACAGCCATGACTATCAAAAAGTACAAACAGTCCAGATACCCTGCTTGAATGAGCATGACGCAGTAAACACCACCCTCCACGCCAACTGAAGAACGACACAGGCCCATGCACACAGGTGCCTCTGTCTCCAGCTGGAGCAGCCGGGTCCGTCTTCTGTGACAATCATTTTCCTGCTTTTCTTCAAAGTCTCCTCTAGGTATGTAGGTAGATAATAACATGTTTAGGGCCACCTGTATTTAAATTTTCACACCCAGAGACTTATCACAAGGGCTGTTGAAGCCAGCTTCCTTTTAACATGCTTTGGGATCTTGTGCATACTGTAGCACATTTTTAACATAGGGCAGTATTCAATCTGTAGGAATAGTCTACAATTTCTCTCTCCATCTTCCCCTCTTGGGACACTTGAACCATGTCCAGCTGGGTGTGATACAGGTCCATGGCTCTAGACATTTTTGTATGATTTCACCTCCTGGTGGTGGGGGCAAGGTTGGGACATGCTTACCATGGAAGAATCAGAATGAAGGTGCTTGCTTTGTCAAAAACCAGGGTGTAAAGTTACAAGGTTATGAAAGAAGGCTTCTTAACACCTTGCTTGATAATGACTATCCTAAAGACTGCCAGAACCACACGCTTCCACAGTGGACTGAGCAGCTTCATGCAAAAAGAAAAAAGAAATCTTCGATTTCTGCTTATCAACTGTTTGTTCAACCTGGAGCTGATGACACACGGATATTGGTCATTGTGACCAAGGATTATTGCTTTAAAATACCTAAGGTAATCCTCATTCTTATCTTTAAAAAACGTGCCCTGTCTTTGCCTCCTGAAACACACACATGGTCCCACTGCAGTGTTCTGTTCTTCCCAAATAAATGCCGGTATCCTCTCGTTGCTTTTTATTTAAGGTGAGGTATAGCAGAATGGTCTATGTGACCAGGCCCTGACAACGGCATTCTAAAGAGCACCAATTTGCACTGCCAAGGTGAGCATGCCCTTCACTCTCAGCATCAACACCCAAGGACACGAGACATTCTGCTCTAATAGTTGCCCCCCATGAAAACAGTGCCACATGTGGTCTGAAGTCCCATTTCCCTAATGCTCAGCAAGGTTGGGCATGCAGGAGTCTTCGGGGCCATGCTATCTATCTAGCATTGCACTATCCTGTGCATCCCGGATCTTGGCCTCGGGTACCCTTTCTTTCCTGTGCCTGGTGAGAATCCACTCAAAGAGCAACACCCAGGGCTCTGGGTAACAACGTTCCCTTCCATCTCTCCCAGACAGACCCAGGCTCTCTTGCCTCTGGGTTCTCATGCTCCTGGGCTTGTTAGTACCCATCGCCCTGGCTACCCTGGCTATTTCCCTGTTCTTCTTCCTCATTCCTCACTTCCCCTGTACAGGACGATCCTGGACCCAGAGCAGCTGCTCAGAGTGCTCCCTGACTGATTTCATGAGGTGCAGAGAAAAGTGCTTCTCCCAGCAGAGAACAGCTCAAGTAGAAGGAAGCATAGATTAGACAGAATGTCAGGTCTGGACACCTTCCCAGGTCCGCATCAGCATGATACCCACAATGGATTCTTGGGCTGCCCTGGAATGGACAGTATGCCTCCTTAGATCCTGTCTTGGGATTTTAGCTCTCTGCTTCACTTTGAAACCCAAGTTCCGAGCTCCCGGGTGCCCCGTCTGGACTATGCCTTCTTCTCCCCTCTGTGCCCCAGGTCTGCCCTTCCAGAGCCCACACTTGAGTTCAGGGCTTCCTTCCCACAAAGCTCCTCCCCAGGTCCTCACAGCTCCTGGATTCGTTCTTTCAATACCTGTGCTCACCGCCAGCCCTCCTCACCAGAGCACACAGCAGCCTCCTGACTCCAACCCTTCCCTGCTTCTCCCACTCCAACCCAGACTCCCACAACTCCGGCTCTCCACCCAGCACACAGCCAGGCATGGCCAGCACTCAGCTCTGCTCTGGCTTCGCTGCGGCCCTCCCCCACCTAGCCTGCCCTTCTCATCCTCACCTGCACAGAAGC